GCTATCTAAATATGTATACAGTTGTGCTTTTATACACTATATATATAAAAATACTTTTTATGTGTATACATGTACAATATATATGCATGTGTAATATATTCATATATATTACGTATAGATAAGCCCATATGAACAACGAATATATAAATGCAATCTGAAGAGCAAGTTATCTGCGTGTACTATATCGCTGTTTTCGTGCAAGAATATATCAAATGATAAACTAAGCTGCCACTGTGTGGGCTGAGCGGATGACCTAGCTAACCAACGCGCATGACCTTAACGATGTCTAATCTCACCGCCAGCATCTCAGATTGCATTGGTTTCCTAAATTATATATATATATATATAATATCTAACGACTCACGAACGGAATGTCGTCCTCTATTCATAGGGCCGGGACGCCATCTACAAAGAGTTCCTTTTCTCGGACTTCAATGAGGCGTTTGGTTTCATGGCTCGTGTGGCCATTAAAGCTGACAAGTAAGTCCACACCTGCTACGTATCTGCACACACCACATCTCTGATACATATGTGCGCCGTACCTGGGGCCTTGAGGTTGTTTATTTGGATTGTTGTGCGTTTATCGCGTGGTCTAGTAGATTCTAATCTGATATACATCTTCTTTCATGTTCGTAGGATGGACCACCACCCTGAATGGTTCAACGTCTACAACAAAGTACAGATCACGCTGAGGTATGTCCGACCTATATTGCATTTCGGGTGTTGTGTGATATGCTATCTCGAGGTACAAATACAGTTTGGTATCTAGTCATCCTGCTTCGCCGTTGCTACCGCTTTCATGAAGCGATATATATATATATATATATATAATTATATATATATATATATATATATATCATATGGATTGTTCATATCACTTGCATCTTTCTGACACACTTGCCTATAATGCTCGCCTATAACTCCCACAGCACACACGATTGCGGAGGTTTGTCGAAACGTGACGTTGAGCTGGCCACCTTTATCAACTCATTGTAAATACGGCCGTTGACGAGGGACGAAAGGCTCTAAGTGCGATGCGTAGGATATCTCCGACGTGCCACCTTGCAATATATGCATGTATACACATACGCGTATGGGTGTGCGTGTAGGCGTACAACCCTTTCGGCACATGTACGGTGGACACTACATACAGAGGGTACTATGACTGACATGGTCATATACTGTGCTTCAACTAGCAGGCATTCCGCCTGGATGGGGCGTCAGGCACATATCTATGATCTACTAGCGGCGTATATAACCTACACTCAAAGCATATCGAATAAAAGTGATTCGCCCTCTCTCCATCAATCCAGCATGTGGATTGGCCCAATTGTTCCCACAATGCCACTTCACTGAATCGCAGTTGTTGTTGTGTCAGAAGAGTATCGTCTATGCCTAAGTAGATACAAGCTTAAAGTGGTCCCTTTTAAACGCTACAGTCTGGTGCGCGCTTTATTACTTGGGTCACATGACCCATGCGTTTGGCGCGAGCCTACCTATGCCTCGCGCATGGCAACCGTATCAGTGATAGCTGCACGCTAGTCCCATGCTCAGCAAACCACGCACACACCATACACGCAAACACCACACACACCGCGATACACAGGGCAAATGCTTTATCATTCACCTCTCATGCGCACACTCTCGTGTGACTCTGTCGTCATCGCAGCTACATATATACACCCTACACACACTCGTGTGACTCTGTCGTAATCACAGTTACATATATACACCCTATACACACTCGTGTGACTCTGTCGTCATCGCAGCTACATATATACACCCTACACACACTCGTGTGACTCTGTCGTCATCACAGTTACATATATACACCCTGCACACACTCGTGTGACTCTGTCGTCATCGCAGCTACATATATACACCCTACACACACCGCTATTCCAGGACGAATGCTTTATCATTCACCTCTCATGCGCACAGACTGACAGCTACTGAATCTCAAGCACACACTCCCGTGTGACTCTGTCGTCATCGCAGCTAAATGTATACACCACACACACACCGCTATAAACAGGTTACATGCTTTATCATTCACCTCTCATGCACACACTCTGAAACACAAGTAGTGATAGTGAACTAAATAGTATGCTCGACAGTATACTTAAGCCATCTACGAAGAACCTGTCAACAAGACTCAAAGTGTTTGCAAAGCAACACCGCATCTACATTGCTGATTCTACAGGTCAGGTGTAGATACATAGTCTATATATATATATATATATATATATATTCTATATATACGTGTGTGTGTAAGTATGTTTGTGTGTGTGTGTGTGTGTCTGTGTCGACGGAGACTCTAGGTTGTACTACATGTATATATTTTGCACCTGTAGTTCCTCAGGGAGTCAGGGACACACTATTCGTATGTATGCCATTATGCGATAGGCCCTTATAACGAAGGTTAATCCGTAGTGCCTGAACACTTTGCAGCACACAAAAGTTTAAAGCACAACGCTACACGAGCAGGTGGAGCTCAGTTTCGTATCTGTCCCACATCAAGGCAAATGCACGTATAACAGGTTATATCGCGGAGACACTCCATTTATGTATTATTTTACACATCAAAGATATTCCGTAATTGTTACTAATATGACATCAATTTACCCAGTAACTTTGGATCCATCACTGTCGTGAGGATCCCAAACTTGCTTTCCGCCATGACTTGTATCATCACAATCGTCCCGGGGTCGTTTGTGCTGATCATGTGATATATCTCATGACGTCGCTTACCAATAGCACAGTAGCCATTCACATCGATGATCACGTCCCCCTTCATAATACCACTCGTGGCTGCAGGCGAGCCAGGCAGCACTTTGATCACACACCCTTTCCTCACACTTATACCGATGTCCGTGGTCTTATACAGTGGCACTGTACACGTGCGCACATCCGGCTGAAAGTGCACACCCAGCACACACTTCACATACTTAACACTCGGCGCTTTCACTATAGTCGGTGGGGCAGATCTAGGGGACGTGCTCGCAGAGTGTGTTGGGGTGGGTTCCGTAGACGCCACTGTCGCCCGGGGACTTGGGCCGAGATTCATCTGTGAGGTGTTGTTTCGGCTGAAGTACTGGTACCCAGACTTCTCCGGGAGGGCCATGCCTCTGAGCTGCGGTGGTGCGATCTGTGTCTGGTCCTTCGCGTCGGATGGCTTGGATGAAAACATGAGCACGTTCACGCCCTGCGACTGCTTTCTGTCTAACCTGCCTCCGCCTTGTACACCGTCTGTAGAGTGTTTCCTGCTAACCGTCCCGTCAGTGGTGTTTCCGTCTTTCCCAGTGCTGATACCAGTGTTTCCATTCTTTGCCGTTCCTGTTGCGGACGTGATAGGAGGAATGGCACAAACCGGTGCTACGGGCAGCGGGCCTCCATTGATCAGGTCCGTTGCTGCGCGCACGTCGAGGTCAAAGGTATCCACACCGTTTATACTCGTGATCTGGTCTCCAAAGCGCATACCCGCTTGGTAGGCCAGAAAGCCCGGCCGTACACACACCACATACAAGCAATGCGCAACCTTAGACAGGGTGAGGCCGAATCTATCGCCTGTAGCCCGTCGGTGCAGTGTAATCTCCTGCAACCCGTCACTCATGCGTGGTAGACTGACACTGTACGGTATGGTTGGCTTCCGCGATGGAAACCGCTTGTGTACCGAGCTTGCACTTGGCTGGTAGGCGCCGTGGTCAGTGCCATCGTTGGTGTTGCCCTCCGATGATATGACCAGAGGGGAAGCTTGGGGCGACCGTGTGGTTGCCAGGTAACCGTCCTTGTTGATGACTGATTCCACGAGCTTGGACATCGAGGCACTACCATCTCTTACAAGTATGGGTTTTGTCTTTCCATCCGATTCTTTCGCATTAGAAGAAGGAGAGAACATCTCACCCAAATGCAGGTTGGAATCTGCGGACCCCGCACGATCTGAAGACAACGAGCCCATCTCCGAGACGGTACATGCGTGTGGGTTTAATGCATCTTTTGTTTTGCTTACCCCATGAAGATCAGAAGCAGATGAATCAGAGCTGATAAATATTCCCATTGGCGAGCGTATGCTAACACCCGCTGTTGCCTTACATTGCATATCCTGGTCCTGGTCTGTGTAGTGTGCTGCGTTCACATGTGTGCTGTGACTGTAGGATGCTTCAGTCGCAGGACGTTTTGGCGGCGACTGGCTAGTAGGTGCCACAGACGATCTCTGCTGCTCTTTACCGACGTTTGACTGTGACTTTCCGTTGGTAGTGTTGCCAACTGAAGTCGAACTACTTTCATCCTTGGACGGCCACTCTCGGTCGTAATACAGACCCGAATCCGTGTCATTGTCGCCTACTGATGCAGATGCAAACGACTGAATAAACCCGCTGGCAAAGACATCATTGGCGTTAGGCTGACTGAGTTCAGCGCCCTCTTGTTGTGCTCCGTATTCAGTTGCTGTTCGCCTATCACTATCTGATACTGCACCCGTTGTTTCTTGCAACGACTTTATATCACTGTACATGTTGTTTTCGTCAATTGCAGTATTTTCAGTGACTTGACTTGCGTCTAAAGCCCCCTGGTAGGATTCTATGTCACTGTTTGGCACGTTTTTATCACGTAAGGTATTACTATTATCTATAGTTGCGGCCATAGTGTCAGGTGATGTCTTACTGTTATTGTGGAGTTGACGTTCATTTGGAAGACCATCAGCAGTGTCTGTGTTCACATCGATTGCGTTGGGAGAGGAATCTGTGGCATCTACACTGATTAACGCATCGGAAGATATAACCAGCACACCTTGGGTTAGCTATTGCTTTGCCTTACACTCACCATCACCAACCACTATATAAACATAGAACTATACAAATAAATTAAAGAAGTATCAGACTGGCTGTGTAAATATATAAACAGGTTTTAGTGCTATTTATTTACACAGGGCTCCGAGACCCTCTCAGCCCTCCGAACAATGTATTCACAGTATTTATCTAAATGTTCAAGAAGCTTTGCTATTTATTATTTGTAAAAATATATTTGGATATGAGTCATCTGACTCATCGAATTTTTACGGAAACTATGTTTTTGATAAATACGTTAAAAAACCTAGTTTGTACAAAGCAACCTTACAACCGCCATGAAATAGGCCCATGAAAATTCTAATGCCGTACAGGTACGTACAGCACATAGAAAATTTATAACCATAACACGCCCGGCGTTTGGTGTATGTCGATACGCTTCTCACAATGATCTGTAGACCTATGCGAGATATACGGCCATACGGGACCATGAAAAGGACCATGTATCACGAAAGAAGATGAACATATGGAAGTGAATGCAATAGGTTTGCTCTCTCCTTACACTTACCTTTGATTTGAGCTAGTCTCGTACGAAACCAAGCATGGAGGAAAATTTGGGGAAGCCCCCGACCACTGGCGAGGAGGTGTTTAGGCCTGAAGTTCCGGTGACATCCACCTCTCACACTACATCGCAAAAACCTATACATGCACACACGCAGCTTCTCGTACACGCGCAGGCACAGTCGCATGTACAACAGCCAGCACAGCGGACGATATCACATTCGGAACCCTCATACTCAGAATCTGTTGCGGATTATGGCGTGATACAAGGCGTGCAAATACACGATACAGCGACACCCTCTCAACCTCGCACATCCAATAGTAACGGTATTGATATCGCGAGTGCACACTCTTGTATACAAACGTCTGGTGCTCACACATATAGTAACGGTGGCAAGGATATGTTGAACCACATTCCTAGTGTACGTGCATCTAGTGAAGAAACTCTGTATGTACGCCACACTTATGCTAACAATTCACTCCATGCATACGGAAGCAACACACTCACGGCACATCCCATGACACACACAGCCGCGGATGTTTTCAGGCGTGTGAACGCTAGTACACGACATACTCATGCACACACGACGGGTGAAACGCCTCACAATAGGGCGGAAGCGATTAATAGCAATTACGCTTATAACGAAGCACCTATGGAGACAAGCCATAGGGCGGAGATCAATATTATTAGCGGCTCATCGGTGCTGGAGAAGGTCTTGCCTGTGCACGACATTGCTTTCCCGGCGGCGTATACGGCACGCGGCTCAGTCAACGGGAGGGTAGACGCTGACACTGTAGTGCGTAGCGGCGTGGTAGCCCACGAAAGTATACCGCATGTATCGCATACACACAGTACACATAACGACACTGTTACACACGGTAGTAGCCATAACACAGTACACACGCATAGGAATAGTAGCGTTGTCACCCACGAGAGCATCCGCAGTACATTACGCAGGCTGCTGCAGAAGCAAACGGCTTTGGAGAACAAACTGGCGAGTGTTACCGGCGACGTGACAATAGGACAGATAGCTACGGTTAAAGCGCACTTAATAGATCAAATACGCTACTTTGACACCATTAGTGACACCTTAAACGCTGATAAATTTCCACATCATTCAGAACAATCAGATGTACACAAGCACACACAACACACACGTGCAGACGCTCGAAACGCCACCTCAGCAACCACACAGCACACGCATGATAACACACGCACACATCGCAGTGGCTCGACTGCAGCGAAGAAACAGTCTGTGCAGAGCACTAGCACAGCGCATGAGAGAGGAGCTGTGTCCCAGGAGGAAGATGTAGATGGGTTATGGTTTGATAAGCGTGCGTCTGTGCAGAAGCTGTTAAAAGGTGTCGAACGCCTGCAACACGCACACACACGCAAATATCACCAGCGCGAGCATGTGCATCATCGTATACACGCACACGAGACACCAGCAGTTGAAGGGGAAACCACGGAATGTACTACATCGGAAAGCGAGAGTGACAACGATATGCGTGTGGGTCCGTCAGGGTATGTACATACGGGTCGGGGGAGGCTTGTGGTGAATTCGAACGAGTGCCGCCATGTGTCGCGGAATAGGCGGTTCTTCAGGCGCAGGGCTGCCCTGGCCTGGCGGTGGAGCTGGCTGGAGTTAAGAATAGCTCAGGTAGACACGCATATAGACACGTTGACCGAACTCAAGACACGCACACGAAAGAACAACCAGGCACAGATCATCCCATACACCCGCCAGGCCGACAAGGGCTGTGAGCACGCAGGGGGGCAACCCCTGGAGCACACACATACACACATACACACACATACACACATACACACACACGCACACGCAAGCATGCATACACACGCATCTGGTCTTAATGGCCATCGTTTAGGCCTTGGGGGCCAGGCACAGGCCGGTGATATGGGCTATGCACAGACGCAGCAACCGCAGCAGCAGATACAGCAGCACACACACAACACCCAGAATGCCACAGACGACCAGGGCGAGCACGGCACACACACCACTGAGACGCCGCCCATGGCCACCCTCAACCACCCGCCTCAGCAGGCCAGGCCAAAGCCAAGTGGGGACGGACCGGTCCCGGGCAAAAAACGCCGGGGCAAGCAACCCAGTGCACACAAGGACCGGTCCACGCACCCCAAAACCTGCGCCAGGTTGCGTGAGTATGTCCTGCCCACCCCGCGCCTGCTGTGGGCCGAGAACACGGTCGGGGTCAAGGGCAGGCCAGAGATACTGGTCAACGTCCTGGGACGGAACAGGCTAGCTCGCCAAATTAGTGCCTTGGACACCTCCTACCACCCGGTCCTGTCCCGGGTGGTTGAGGCGGCCCCGTTTCTTAGGTGCAGTACCCTGCACCCTGCACCAGCCCTGCCGCTGGCGTCGTCGTGGCGAGCACAGCGTGACAATGAAGGTATGGTATTATGTGCGTGGGTATGTGGAGATGGTAGTGAGTGTGATATGTGTGTGCATGTGTGTATGTGTGTATGCGTGTATGTGTGTGTATGCATGTTAGAGAGGGTGGTGTGTATGTGTCTCTGTGTGTGTCTGTGTGCGTGTCTGTCTGTGTGTGTGTGCATATTAGAGAGGGTGGTGTGTCTGTGTCTCTGTGCATTGCAGAGAGGGTGGTGTGTATGTGTATGTGTGCATGGCAGTGAAGATGGTGTGTATGTAGGGTAGAGAGGGTAGTATGTATGCGTATGTGTGCATGGTAGTGAAGATGGTGTGTATGTATGGTAGAGGGGGTGATGTGTATGTGTATGCATGTACGGTAGAGAGTGGTGTGTATGTGTCTGTGTGTGTACGGTAGAGAGAGTCGTGTGTATGTGTCTCTGTGTGTATGTATGGTAGAGAGAATGGTGTGTATGTGTCTGTGTGTGTACGGTAGAGAGAGTCGTGTGTATGTGTCTGTGTGTGAATGTACGGTAGAGAGAGTGGTGTGTATATGTGTTTGTGTGTGTACGGTAGAGAGAGTCGTGTGTATGTGTCTGTGTGTGTGTGTACGGTAGAGAGAGTGGTGTGTATATGTGTCTGTGTGTGTATGGTAGAGAGAGTCGTGTGTATGTGCCTGTGTGTGTATGTATGGTAGAGAGAGTCGTGTGTATGTGTCTGTGTGTGTATGTATGGTAGAGAGAGTCGTGTGTATATGTGTCTGTGTGTGTGTGTATGGTAAAGAGTGCGGTGTGTATGTGTCTGTGTGTGTATGTATGGTAAAGAGGGTGGTGCGCGTGTGTGTGTATTTATGGTCGAGAGAGTGGTGTGTATGTGTATGTGTGTGTATGCATGGTAAAGAGTGTGGTGTGTATGTGTGTGTATGCATGGTAAAGAGTGTGGTGTGTATGTGTATGCATGTAGGGTAGAGAGGGTGGTGTGTATGTTTATGCATTTATGGTAGACGTAGAGAAAGTGGTGTGTATTGTATATGTGTATAGTAGTGCGGGTGGTGTATATGTGTATGTATGTATGGTAGTAAGGGTGGTTTGTTTGTGTGTGCATGTATGGTAGAGAGGGTGGTGTGTGTTTATATGTGTGTATTGTAGAGAGGATGGTGTGTGTGTGTGTGCATGTATGATAGAGTATGTGGTGTGTATGTGTATGTATATATGAATGCAACCACCCGTTAGCATCTGGTAACAGTGAAGTGTGCGATGAATGCATGCACTCTTGATTGTGTTATTTTGTGCTTTTCGTAGATATACATGTACGTGTTTTCTATATATATATATATATATGTGTGTATGAGTATGTATGTACGTTTGTATGTATATGTATATGTGTATGTGTATGTATATGTGTGGGTATATATATGTATATATATATATTTATATATATATATATATATATACTACCACACATATACATACAAACGTACATACATACTCATACACACACACACACACACATATATATATATATATATATATAATATATATATATATATAAATGGCGTTTAAGTATTGCTCAGTACGAATTGGAGCATAGTCCTTTCATATATTCAGTTCTAGTTTTAGTTTTTAACCACTGTTTGACATATACCTGGGAAGTGTTCTATTTGGGAGTACACTATGTATCATTGTCAAATCAATAGGGAAGTAAGCCCCTGGCGCGAGTTATTATAGCTTCCACGGAAGTTCGTGTATGTGTCTGTGCAAACAGTGTCGTCTCCTCTGCACCTGAGCTGGCAGTAGAAGTGGCTGTGGGATAGTCTCATGATGTGCACTGTGTTATTATGCGGTGTTACAGACACGCACGCCAGCATATCCGTGAATAGATTCTTATGATGGCACGCGACCATGAGGGTCTCAAGAGAACTCGTCTCACTTCAGCCAAGACTCATCTCTCTCCCACGCTCACGCGAAATCTTTTCAGCCCGAGATGGCTTGTTTTAGCATGGTTCCCTAACACCCTAAACCCTTATTGATATCTGTGGTGTGTATCTTCCCCCACCCTGCAGCTGCGGCGAACGCAAATTTGAGTAAAAAACAGGTTAGCAAAGTGCATAGTGGCAACCAAACAAAGAGTGGTTCGATGTCAGCCAGATCCAGCACCACGAATATCAAAAAGAAGCCCATCAGTCGGACCTCTTCCGCAAACAAAGTGAGCCGCAAACGCTCGGACGGCAAAAGGCGGGACAAATCGGGACTGCTACGGAAGCGCACCAAGAGCGTATCCAACCTTACTAGTGTAGATGCGAAGAAGAAAGGTACCGAGGAGACCGATAGCACAGCCAGTGTGCTCGGCAAGGGTACACGCCGCACGAGCTCACACAGTAATGTGTTCAAACGGCACAAGGTGTACGATATTGACAACGTGGTGATTCCCGTGACCGCAGGCATGGTCACGAGGGTGCAGGCTATTGAGTTCCAGGAGATTGAAACGCCCAGTTGGCGACCGTCCACCGAATCACTCCAAACCAACGGTACGGTGAGACCTGTGTATCTATTGAGGCTAAGTATGGGCGTGTTAGCCTGTCTTTCAGTGTTGGTGCGTGTCTTTTTGTGTTTACAAGGCAACCGCTCTGTATATGTATGCCTTCTACAACTTGTAACTTAAGGACGAGTACGGCAGATTTCAGACGACCTCTGCAGCTGAACTGTCGCAATTTACGTTTTAGCAACCCGTTCGTAAGTACTGTTCGCTTGTGCATAATTCATATGTGGTAGTAAATCTGGAGTTAAATTCGGAAGTAGTTTTGACTGATTGCATACTCCAAAACCGTCATGTAATTCTTAAACATATATATTTCTACGTGTATATATTGTACATGCACACATGTGTCTGTGTACATACACACATGTGTCTGTGTACATACACACACATGAATATATATATGTCAGTGTATATATATATGTGTGTGTGTGCGTGCGTGTGTGTGTGTGTGTATTCATATACAATATGCAAAGTGTATACGTATATGTATATGTATGTATGTATGTTTTATATACGTATATATATATATGTATATATATATATATATATCATGTGTGTGTATGCGTGCGTGTGTTATCATGAAGATATAGTTTTTACGCCTATGGATTTGTACAGAATGAAAAAATTGTTCAAGCATGTGATTTGAATTGGGATCAATATTGTTTACCAAGTAGTGCTGGTGTCTGTTTATACACCCGCTCTGTTTGTTGTCTGTGTATCCATACATAAGCCCATATACATGCCAAATACGTCATAGTTGATATTATAACTGTATCAATGTATCTGTACGTACATTACAGGTGATTATTCTTAAACATTGACGTGTACTTACACACGTATGCGTAAGATCTTGACCATCCGCAGATCCATAGGATACTTAGGCCTGTTCATGTATCCATGTATGTATGCTATGTATGCTTCCATTAGGTTGTCACCATACGCCCACAAGCTGTTATCTCGGATTGTCAAGTATTGCCGATGGTTTGCTATTGTGTTGCTTCTTGGCCCAGACTGGAAACCTGTATTTACCTAGCACCATACCATGCGTCAAATTCTATCTATATGCTTCAAATTCTAGCTATAACCCTTGAATTCCCTATCGACTCGCTCTCCCGTGCAGACCCCAGTGCAGCACCGCAGGAACACTACAGCAGTGAAGACACTTCGGACGAGGCCTATGAAAAGCGCCACAACGCGCGACAGAAGATCGAGACCAGCCGCTTTGAAGCATTCATGAAGAATCTACACCAGCCCAGGCGGAGACGGTCTTCACATGTAAGTAACTGTGGTGTGCATGTAGGTGACCGTGATGTACATGTAAGCAACCGTGGTGTGCATGCAAGCAACCGTGGTGTGCATATAAGTAACTGTGGTGTGCATGAAAGCAACCGTGGTGTGCATCTATGGTGTGCATCTATGCAATCGCGATGTGCATCTATGTAACCGCGGTGTGCATGTAAGCAACCGTGGTGTGCATGTAAGTAACTGTGGTGTGCATGTAAGCAACCGTGGTGTGC